TTGTTTTTGGAGACTCCTATGTTGATACTGGAAATTGGCCACGGGATGTCAGGGGTCCATGGAAAGAACCTTTTGGTAAAACATGTCCTGGTAAACCAAATGGTCGAGCCTCCGATGGTCGTGTCCTAACTGACCATATAGGTGATTAATGAATTTTCTCTCCTGCTACTTTTTTTCTTTTCTCTCATCTTATTTTTAGAATGGAGAGAATTTGAAATCATAGGTATTAAACCTGTAATAGTTTGTTAGGCCGAAACCTAAGCTGAAGTTAGTATGCTTTCGAAACAGGTTGGGAGTTCACCTCCCAATTTAAGATGCAACATGTTGATTTTATCAGACCTGGAAGAGACTTGTCTAGTTAACTCTATGGATTTTTTTTTAATTTTATACAAAATAATATTGTTTTAACTTTTTTTCCTAATCGACATTGTTTCATTAAAAAAAAAACAACTCAAATAATATTGTTTTGAGATAGACCTGGGTTGATCCAATGATCTGAGAGTTAAATTGACCATCTAGTCAATTCTGACAACTATTTATGTGATTTTTCTATTACAATTATGAAATTTCACCAAGCTATTAAATTATATTAACACATCTATTTTTACATTTGCGTTCATGAAATATAATGTGCAGCTTCATTCCTGGGAATAGAATCACCTACACCTTATCAACTGAAAAACACATCAAAAAGCATTCAGCAAGGGTTGAACTTTGCATATGGAGGCAGTGGTGTTTTCCCCACATGGGCGAAAGACAGCCTGACAGTCCAGATCGATCGATTTGAACAACTACTCAAAGAAAATGTATATAGTCAACGTGACCTTGATAATTCAGTTGCTCTGGTTTCTACCGGAGCCAATGACTATCCATTCTATTTTACGGCCAAGAAAGGTTCAAAAGATGTGAGTAGTTCTTACCCTAAATAAAGAAAGTTTTACAAGTACTTTTTTACGTTGAACATGTAGCTTTTTAACTTGTATTTTTTGAATTTTTTTTATATGATAGGGATTGCCTGCTTTCACTGAAGGACTTGTAAACCAGCTTGCTGCAGACCTACAACGTATTAATCGTCTAGGAGTGAAAAAAGTTGTAGCAGCAACACTACCGCTTCTAGGATGCTTGCCAATACACATGATTCCACCAAATACATATCAGAATTGCGACGAAGAATACAACAAAAACGCCAAGATTTACAACCAGCTATTGCAGAAAGCAGTGGAGAAATTGAACACTGGTGATGGAAACAAAAGCACATTTGTAATTCTTGATCTCTATAACGCTATGGTTTCTGCTATTGACCAATTCAGACAGAATGCAGGTAATCTCTGCTCATGTTTTTTTTAACCAAAATTGTTTTTTTTAATGCAACTCAAGTTAATGTTTATATAACCTTTCTTCTTTCTGCTTGTCACAGCAAACACTGCGTGCAAGAACCCGCTGCAGCCATGTTGCTCGAAGACTGTTGAGTACATATGCTCAGCGGAAGGACTATGCTCGAGTCCCAAGTCATCTTTCTTTTTTGATCTGGCACACCCTTCGGACAATGGCTGGAATGCTATTTATTCATTTCTGCAAGGTTCTCTTCACAGAGGTCTGAGAGTTTGAGGATGGTTCCTTATATTTGCATACATTATGTGCAGTCCATCTCCGGTTTCATCCCTTGTGATTGTATTCAATTTAAGAAATTTGTCTTCCTTCTGAATCTTTGCAAAGAGAAAGAAACAAGAAGACTGTCTGACCGAGTCATGTAATGCCATTAATTTCATATGTTAATTATATAGTTAATTGAGAGTAACTAAGATTATCGTTTGAACTTCCATGTACATGCAATTACTATTCCCAAGAGATCATGGAGGAAAGTTCGATGAGTAAATCTAGAAAATTTGTGATTTAAAATCCGACTTGTTAAGTTTGATATTGAATTGTAAAGATATTGATCTTGTAAATCCTAATTTTACAGCCTAATTAACTGGCTAGTTTTTATATATCCTCTCCAAAACTGTTTATTTTCCAATTGCACTGTTAAAAAAAAATTTCCGTTGATATTTTTCAGAGAGCTCCGAAACTGTTTATTTTCCAATTGCACTGTTAATTGTTATTTTTTATGAACAAAATCACTGACAAATTGAAAAGTCATTAGTATTATTTGGTGGTTTTCTAAAAAAATTCAATTAATTTAAAATCTTCATTTAAATATTACAAAACGAATTAAAAATCATTTAAACAAAATCATCGGTGATTGTTGGCAGTTTTGAAAACTTTTTATGAAATTAAAATTTTAAATTAAATATTACAAACGGAATTACCAATAAAATAATTAAAAAATTAATATTTAGTTATCCATTGGTAAAACAATCACTAACGCGTCCTAATAAAAAGTCTGAATTCTCTTATTTCACAAGATACAAACTCATTTCTTATTCTTCTTCTTCTTTTTCATTATATGTAAAACACAATAATATTTTTTTTCTTTTTCTTTTCTTCTCTTCTCATCTTCTTCTCTTCTTCTTCTTGCTCAAGCATGTCGTCTTCTTCTTTCTTTTTTTATCCTTTTAGTTTTTTTTAATTAATATGCTTTACGAAATTTTATTTTTCTCTTTAGTTTCACTTACAACTAAAATAATGTAAGATTTTTTTGTTTTTTTTTTTACTATATTTGTTTTTTTTTAATTATTTTTATTCTTAATAATTGTTTAAATGTTTTCTTTTTTCTTTTTACCAGGAACTTGCAGGCACAATTGTACATATTTACGCTAGAAAACCATATATATATATATATATTGAGGAAGCTAGTCAGGAACGAACAGAGATCAGAAAATCTCGATAATGTTGTCATATTCCAAACTGTGATTCGCTCTACACAGGAAAACAAATGCATTCAGTAAGCAAAACATGTAATTAATAGCAGAACAAGGAGCAGCGTAAGCAATGCAACAACAAAAAAAAAAATAGTTTTAAAATTAAAAACAGTTTACTCGGTAAAAAGAACCTATTCGTTAGTTATAAGTTCCGGCTGCACGAGTCACAGATTGGCATGATCAACCCGTGGGTAAATGGGTTAAATAGGTGTATTGGGTTTTTTTAATTCGTCCAAAATTGAGGCCCGCAAGACTTGAAAAAAGGCCCAAGATCTTGGTGGTCTCTCTCAAGTTTTAAAGGTCACCATGGCCCACTTTTGACTTGAAAATTGTAACATGCTGACATGCAAGTTCACTCGACCAGTACTTGATGCTACAGCTACCTTAAAAGCTAAGGACTCGCGTGATGGAGCCCGAAGCGGTGACAGCATCCCGCACTATCTGTTTTCATGGAGGACATTTTATCATCATTTATAGAGTAATGCTACCAATGGCAACGGCGGTGATTTCTAATAACTTTCGGGTCATTGGTTTAATCTCTATCCGTGTCCTTACTCTTCATGAAATGAAATCCGCGCAGTAGATCATTATTAATGTTTATCATATGTGTGCTTGAATATTTAGCACTAACAGAGAATAGAAACATCAACGTAACCAAGCTCTGTGTAGTTCATAGCACATTCCTGAGCCCTTATTAATTATGATCTATAATGGAAATGTAGGCCCAGAAGGTTTCACTGTGTGGCCCATATACATGCTTGCATATGATAATGGCGTCTCAGTGATATGGAAACCATGCTCTGTATAGTTTACACCAAGGCCGGAGAGTGTTTTGAAAATGATCCTGAGACCATGAGAAGAAGAAAAAAATGAGATTTTTGAAATAGTAATTCCTAAGATAATGGCAACAACATGACTTGAAATGTAGAGGTCACTAACAGCGTAGTTTTCGACCATAGCGATCAGCAACTATTCCCCAGAAAACAGATGTTAGAGCTCTCCCAGGCATAAACGAGGACCCTTTACACATGTATAGAACGTTTTTGTGAAGAAAATTTCATCAGTAATCATACATAATGCTCTCCAACGCAAGTCTAAAACAAGGAAAGCAAGCTCACTGACATATCCAATATAGTAGCCAATATCTTTCTCTAGCTCTGCAATACCAAAATCTGTAATATGCAGATAGGTACAATTCATAAATGCCCTGTTCATTTCAGGGCCATTTGGGAAGAAAGAATCATGAAACCCCAGTTAGCATTAAACGGATGGATTGCACAACATTCACCATGAAATAAAGGAATGAAAATAGAGTTCATATTGGAAGTGCTACGGGGAAAAAAAAAGACGTCACAGTTAATCTCAAATAACGTTGCACGAATGATGCGAGATGCCCAAAAGACTGAAGCAAAGGCAGGCCAATTAGCATATGTAGTGAAGTCGAAATGCCACTTAATATTTCAGCTACAAACCAAAACATGCAAATGCATCTCTCTCTATAGGTACAAAAGCATCCATACAAACAAAGAGCATATGATAGTTGATTTACTTCCATTTTTCACCTTGACAAGCTGTATGTCAAAACTCAGGTTTCTTTCAGGATCAAAATGATTTGAGATGAGCACTTACCAGTAGAAAGCACAATAATCCATATTGAAACAATATCACGAAATGGGAATCATGCTTAGATCCTGAGCAATAGCTCTCACAGTAATTATTCCTCTTCAACAATGCCTCTCTACGCTTCTGCAGGTTTTTTTTTCTTCTTAAAAAGCACTTGATGGTTCAAATTTGCAATACAAGTATTGAAATGAGTTATATATTGAAGCTATATACCATTCCGGGCTGTGTTTGCTGAAGTTGTGAATAGCTTTGGTAGCGTTTAGATCCAATTTTGAAATAGAAAAGACGGGAACAATAAGAACGTGTCTCCCAGTGCAGAATTCTCTCAAAAATGATCCCAAAGACAAATTTCTGTCTGTCTCATTATGACTGTGGGATACATCGTTTTGTAAATGTTAAAATAATAATTATAAATATAGAATGGTTAAAGCACTTTTCTCAATTTTTTTCATTATGTTAAGCACACGTTCTCTATGATTTTCGTAGAATGTAAGCACAGATTCAATTACATTTGGATTTTAATCCGAAAACAAGAATCGGGTTTCATATATAAGCTTTAAATATTAGAACAATTAAAATATGCTCAATATTCCCCATGGTGTGAAAACCAATTGACCACATCAACATCCTTTTCGGCTGCTGGAGGTATGCCTTCCATCACCTTCTCTTGGCCCTTTGGATAATAAATTCCAGTCCTCTCATGTGGAACCCAACCATTGCTATCAGTCTCTCCCATGTGGCTCTTATTGTTCCTCACTTCCTCGGCATCCACCTTCATTGTCTCACGTATTGTGTCGGCGGAACTTTTCTTGTGGTAGGTTTTTCGAATCATTGGCCTATATATGTTTTCACAAAGAAATGGTGATATTGATCGATAAGAAACAGACCAAAACATTAATGATCTAGCCATAAGTTATAGCTATATACAAACACTTACTTTTTCAAGAAGATTATTACATGGATCTGATTTATGATCGACTGAAGCTATCAAACCAGCCGGTTCAATATACATTACAAGCTTTGACGTAAAAACAAAGGAAAGAAAGAAAGCTGGAAGCCTTACTTGAAAAACATGGAATTCATGGTGTGTGCACCTCTAGCAAATGTCCCAGAAGACATCTCTGTCTTTGCCAAGCTCCAAACAATGTGGATGGTTCATGCATCATTTATAAGGCATTGGAACATTATATATTCAAAGCAAGAAGGCATGGGGGTGTTATCCATATCTCTCATTTCTATGGAGATTTTGTTTGGGACCATTTCACATATGTCATTGTCTGTTTCAACTGCTAAGCTTCTAGATATCGAAAGAGATGGCTGTTCCTCAAGCAATCATTGATGATCTGTTGGCCTTGTATCCATAGCGTACAATTTCATAATCAATAGTTTATTAAAACACTACGAGTAGACCAATCATATAATTGGACTGAATGTGAAATAAAAGAAAATCTCACAAAATTATTCCAAACCAGAACACTATCATGTCCAATGAAGCCATCATGCAAGCTTTACCCATGCCTGAAAGATTGGTAGCTTTTCGGGACCATTTTTATCCGCGTATGGCTGCTTGGTCTTTCATCATCTATCCTGGCCCGCACCAATAAAGATTGCCACCTTCCGGCTCTTTGGACCAAACCATTGACAGGTCGTGATCATAGTTTTTAAACCCGGTCCGGTGGCTGACACTGACAGGTCGTGACAATCTGAACACCACTTGGTTCGGGCACAACTATCGTTGCAACAAGGATAAGTTCACATAACCATATTTTCCAGAACATTTGGGTCGTGACCCGGCCTAAGGATAGGGTTGTAAGTGAGTTGATCCGCAAGTTTATAAATTGGCCCAGGGTTTACTGTACATTTTAATGAAACAATATTGTTTTGAATATTTAAAAATAAAAACTGATAAATTAAAAATAAAAATAAAAATTTTTTGAATAAAAATTAAAAAAAAATAACTCATTAGTTAAAGTTTGATCAAGTTAACTCCCCCGAATAATTTAAAAACAAACCCAATCCTGGCATGTCCTAATTCATCGAATCACCAAGTCGCCTTAGTAAGTCTAGCCAGGTTTGATAACT